ATGACTGACCGCCTCTCCCTCCTTATTCCCCACAGCCAAACCAGCCATCACTGAGGGACAATCACCACCAGCCAAGGCAGCTGCCTGACCCCAGGGGAGCCACAAGAGCCAGAGAGTCCAGGAGAACCTGATGAGACAGCATGTGGCTGTCCTCTGGGACCTGCAACAGACCCTGGCCAGAAGGTCCAGGATGATGCTAAGTGGCAGAACCAAATGTGGGCTCAGCTAGTGCAGCAGGGCAGAAACATGTGTGCTACCATCTGTGAAATGATGGCACACCCGGCTCCTGTCCCTGCTCCTTCCCTCCCTGCCATTCCTGACCCCACTCCAGCTCCCCCTGCTGCCCCTGTTGTCCCAGGCCCCACCCATCCCTGAGGTCACCAAGGTTCCCAGTCCCTGGGCAGCACTTCTAGCTGCACCATGCATCACTCCCAGCCCTGAGCCGCCTCCCACCTCTGACCCGATCCAGGTTCAGAATCCCCTTCGTTACTTTTATTATGAAAAAAAATACAGTTCTTTGTTTTCAACACAAAACTGGTGTATTTATTGACTCTACAAGGAAGGGGGGAAAGGAGAGGTTGCTGTAGGAAAGGCATAGTAGGGGCAAGGCACAGGCCCCCTAGTGGGGAGGCCCTGAAGAGAGTTACTGGAGTCCAAAAACTCTCCCTCAGGCCCTCCTGGATGCACACCCCCACCTGATGTACCTGACAGTTTGCAGCTGTGTGCAGCTGCTCGAAGGCCTTCCCTTCCGGCCAGCTTCTGCCCCCTCCCCAGTAGGAAGACCTCTCCCTTGCTCTCCACAGTGTTGTGGAGACTACAACATGAATACAACATTGAACTACCATTACTCTCGTGGAACGAGGTGTACCGGTAGTTCAAATTAGAGAGCCTAATTCGAACTACCTACTCCATGCCGCGTGTAGCCGCGGGCACGGAGTCCGCACTAAGGGGGATTTAAAAATGGCGGCGCCTGTCAAGATGCAAATGAAGCCCGGGATATTTAAATCCCAGGCTTCATTTGCAACTTCGAATGCCTACATTATCCACCCTAGTTCGAACTAGGGTGGCAGTGTAGACATACCCTTAGGGAAGTGAAAGGCAGGGTGGAAGACAGGTAGCAATGCTGGCAACATTAGCAGCCTCCAAAAAGGCATCTCTAACATGTAGGGCTCTGGCCTCACCCCATTTGCACATCTGGATAACTGCAGCAATGCGGAGTCCCATACTCACATTTATACCAGTAGAAGGGACAGTTGCTGCAGTGTTCCCTAGAGTCCAGGTGGTATTATACTTTTCAGTGGTCCAATGCCTAAATCCATTCTGCCAAGCAGAGTACTTTTTCCAACTACAGTAGACTTCCGATAATCCAGAACCTATGGGACCTAGGTGGTGCTGGATTATCAAATATGCCGGACTATCAGGAGGTACTATAAGCTGGTTATATATATACTGTATACATTATATACTGTATATAAAGTGTTCTTAACTCTTTTTATTGTACATACTATATACAGTATACTGTAATGTTTTCGGTTTTTTAAGCCTTTTTTACCCTTTTTGCTCAGTTCAGCTGCTGCCGCTGTTACCTTGTGACTCATTTTTTGCCAAAGCTCACTCACTAGGCTCTTGCCATTTTGATGCCGGACTATCAGGAGTGCCGGACTATTGGATGCCGGACTATTGGAGTTTTACTGTACCCGGCACACCACTGCTTCACAAGGACTATAACTTTGAGGGGTTCAACCTGTTAGTCAGTTTCAGCAAAAACAAGGAGTCCTGTGGCACCTTAAAGACTAACCTAGGGTATGCCTACATTACCCCGCTAGTTCAAACTAGCGGGGTAATGTAGGCATACCGCACTTGCAAATGAAGCCCGGGATTTGAATTTCCCGGGCTTCATTTGCATAAGCGGGGAGCCGTCATTTTTAAAACCCCGCTGGTTCGAACCCCGTGCAGCGCGGCTACACGGGGCACGAACTAGGTAGTTCGAACTAGGCTTCCTAGTTCGAACTACCGTTACTCCTCATTTCACGAGGAGTAATGGTAGTTCGAACTAGGCTTCCTAGTTCGAACTACCGTTACTCCTCATTTCACGAGGAGTAATGGTAGTTCGAACTAGGCTTCCTAGTTCGAACTACCGTTACTCCTCATTTCACGAGGAGTAATGGTAGTTCGAACTAGGCTTCCTAGTTCGAACTACCGTTACTCCTCATTTCACGAGGAGTAATGGTAGTTCGAACTAGGGTGGCAGTGTAGACATACCCCTATTTATTTGGGCATAAGCTTTTGTGGACTGGAATTCAATTTGTCAGATGCATGAAATGAAAACTTCAGTTTGGCAAGTATATACACACATGCAAAGACAGTTGTGTTACATTACTATGCAAAGGACCATACATGCTTCTTTTGTTTTAGTTCATTGGTAATTTGCTTGCTTAGTATTAATTGACATTATAAGTTTTCTTACTTAGCGCAATTTGAAAAAATTACTGATTTCCTGCTACTTGTAGTGATTACAGTCAAATTTGAAGAAATGACCTGTAATATTGATCTAATTCTTTGTTTAGTTTGGGTTTTAGTTTTATTCTTTAATTTATGTCCTCCAGGATTTTAGTTTTAGTAGTTCCATAATCCATTCTAGGAATAGACCCAAACATGTAGCAGTCAGAAGGATATGAAATTTTCTTTTATACAAAATAATAATCCCAAAATTGTTCATTTGCTTCATTTAATTAAATACTGGTAGTTTATGTAGCATCCAGCTTAATCCCCAAAAAGATAATACTGACTGCCAAAGAGAAGGAAACTCTTAAGACCTTATTGTCCCTTCTTCATGGATCCTGCATATAATTCAGGTTTGTCTGATACCACTTTTGTGTTTTTTACTATAACATAGGTATAAAAGGAACTCAGTATTTTTCTGTCAGTAGGTAACCAATGTGTTCTTTTAAGAGCACAACAGTTATTTACTGCTATGTTTTAAAATGTGTTAGTAAATCTGTAGCTCACATGGCATGAATTAGAAGTCAACATAACAGTATGCCAGATGGTAATATCTCCAATTTTGCAGTGAATTTTCTCAGGCAACAAAATTTGGGTCAAGCACATAATTCAAGGGAAAATCTAAACTGGGTGTGATCTAGCCTGCCAAAGGCTGTCTCTACATTCACCTTTTGGCTTTAAATTCTCCACTGTTACTACCACTGATGCAGCTTCATTGGTGGTAGTTTGTGATGTTGTGCTGATGTCTAACTCTCAAGGTTTAGGCAGCATGTTGGTAGAAGTGGTAGCCATTGCATGGGTCTGCACTAGCTTTTGGTATAGTTGCTTCCTCCTATATAGACCCATTGCCTTCAGTGAAAATATATTTGAAAATGGTGGCGGCAGTGTTTGTTCAATATCACAAAGTCACGTTGAAATCAATATTAGATGTTGACGATTAGGCCTTGTCTACACTTATCGGCAGATTGGCACTCTAGAGATTGATCTCCCAGGACTTGATCCCACTAACTCAACCACTGATCACACTCCATTGACTCTGGTACTCCAATGGAGTGAAAAGAGTAGGGGGAATCATGGTAAATCAAACTAAGGTACTGTTACCTATCAGCTTTGTGTTCTTGGGGAGCCAGAGTATAGTCACCAATCAGCTCTATGTTCTTGGGGTGCCAGAGCATAATACTCATGAACAGAGCTCGACAAAAAATGTTATCTACTCGCCCATGGCAAGTAGATTACACCCCGGAAGAGCCAGCGCAGAGTGATCTGCGCATGCGCAGAGCGCAGAACCGTGCGGCTGACAAGCGAGGCTCACCACCGCTCAGCGAGCCCTCCTCATGAAAGACCCCCCCGTCCCCATGGCGTCTGCTTGAAGAAAAGACAAAGCAATGAAAAGGCAGAGGAAGACACACCTAAACCCCTCTGGGCAAGGGTGATAGAATTAAGGAAACACCTCTAGCCTCATCTGCATGGAAGATAGAACAAACTGATATCTACATTAGCATACAGAATGGAGAACATCATTTCCAAAGCAAGAACCACACTGAACTATGAGATACAGAAAGTAGAAAAGTGAGAAATATCTGCTCCAGATACTAATGAACTCATGCCTACTCTTAGCCTTTACCTAAGTTCAAGATACCTATATTGCCCAAAATTCCTGTGGGGTTTGCTCATCAGGTAGGTTACTACCAGAATGGTTGTGGTGTGAAAGTGGAGCTAGGGAAGTGCTGAACCTGGGGGCACATGAGGGTGGCAGCTTAAAGTGCTGTTTAACCCATCCCACTGAGTCCAAGGGCACATGAGGGACACAGCTTGGCATTGCTGTGCAACCCAGCCTACTGAGCCCCGAGACATATAAAGGGTCAACTTGTGAGTGCTGATTAACTGGTCCTATCAGACATGCTGTTAGTGAATGTGAGTATCTGTGTGTTTGTCTGATTCTTGGGTGGAAGAACCCAGTTCTGGGGAACATAGTTCCTGCAGGAGAGCTCCATTAGAAAGGAATTAGCAGTAGAGAGAAGTAAAGCTGCATATGAGAGCACAAGTAATACAAGCAGCACACTGATAGCACCCGCTTAAGTATAACCCTTATACATGAGCATACCCCAGAGTAACAGACAAATCTAGTAACAGTACGTTGACTCCAGCTACACTATTCACATAGCTCGAGTTGCATACCTTAGTTCGACATTGCCCCCTAGTGTAGACCTGGCCTTAGTTTATGGGGTTTCTTGTAAGTAGAGCTGTGGGGAAATTGCAAGCAATTTCATATATTTGACAAAAAAATGAGAGAGAAACCTTTATATTTACAAACTCCTCTCTCTGCCTATTTTCTAACCAGACTTAGACCCTCTCAGAGTTGAGATAACCTGTGTAGATCAGGGAGCAGAATTTTGGACCTAATATGCAGTGTGTATTTGCTGCACCTGTACTAGCTGTGATCTCACTATTGTCAATTTTACAAACTGACTCATGGACAGAGAGAAAAGATGGTTTTCTAGAGGATTTATTGAACAATAATAAACATATACTTTTTTAAAAAAAACAGCTTCTTAGATTTACATTCAAGAACCCATAATGTCATTCCTGACACTGTAGGAAATAACAAAAAAAAGTATGTAAATATTTAAGACATTTAAATAACGTTCTCTGGACCAATAAAAAATATGGGTCTCTGGCCCTGTTCCCATTGAAGTCAATTGTCACTGACATCAGTAGCTGCAGGATCAACCCTTGTGCTTGTAAATGTTTCACACCAATAGAGCATTTTACAGAGGTGCTGTCTGTGCCACTGTCGTCATGACAGTGACAGCACTTCTGTTAAAATCCCTACTTCAATCATAACAGCCTGTTGCATGCTAGCCGTGGTTTGTCGTTTCTTCTGATTGTTGTAACTGCAGAGTTAAATTAACCATTTTTAATTTGTAGACATTCCCTGTTGTGACATAATTTTTGTTCTTTTAGGTCCTAATCCAAAATCCATTGTAGTCAATGGAAAGATTTGGATAAACTTTAATTGATCAGTCTCTAATAACACTGAAATTATTTTGGTTTTCTTTTGTTGGGTTCTTTTACACTTGTTTTTAGACCCCGCACCAAATTGTTACCACTAAGGTCTGCATCCTCTCCTACTGAAGTTAATAACAAAACTACTAATGATTTCAATGGAAACCATATTGGGTTTCCAATGAGACCAATTTATTTTATGAGCCAGATCCTCATATATGTAAGTCAAGGTAGCTCCTTTAACTTAAATGGAACTACATTAGTTTACTCTATCTAAGGATCTGGCCTGAGCCCAAGTCCCAATGCCTCCCACTGGGGTGGAGCTCAGGGTTAGACTTCACCCTCAGGTCCCAGAAAATCTAATGCTGATCCTTGCAACCTAATACAATGGGGATACAATCCACTTCAAGGTCCTAATGCCAAATTTGAGAACTTCTGGCTTAAACTAATTAGTTTATTCTAACTAACAATCTGGCTTAGTTTTTTAATTAAAACTGCAAAGCAATTGATTTTTATAAATGGGCTTCTGCACATGAGCAGTATTAGCTATTATATAAGTAGGTTTTAATGTGTGCCTATGTAAACATTATGATGTTTTATGCCATATCAATACATAGCCAAATAAGGACCGAGTGAAGAATTAGCAACTCCTACCACTCCCTAAGGCAGTGGTGGACAACCTCAAGGACCATGTGTGGCCCATCAGGGTCATCTAAGTGCAGGCACAAGACATTTTGCTGATGTCAACCAGCAGGCACCGTCCCCTCCCAGCTCACAGTGGATGCAGTTTGCTGTTCCAGGCTAATGAGAACCATGGGGGAAGCGCCTGCAGGCTAAGGGGCTGCAGGAATGTTCTGGCTGCTGTTTTCTGCTGCTTCCATTGGCCAGGAACAGTGAATCATGGCCACTGGGAAGTGCAGGGGGCAGTGCCAGTGGATGGTCAATGTCAGCCAAATGTTTTGAGGCCCACAATCAGATTACCTTGATTGTCAACATACAGTCCCCCGGCCAAAGCAGCTGCCCACCACTGCTTTATAGAGATGAAGGAGATGAAGAATTGGGCACTGAGGTATCCTAGTGTCTCTACATTCTCTGATTCATTCCAGTTCATTGGGCAGAAACATGTGTTATCTATAATGCATATTTATGCTGATTCTGCAGTACTCCTTCAGGGCCTCTACAGGCTACTGAACACAAAAGCCACCTTTTGGAATATACTTTAACTCCATATGTGTTTTTACATAGTATCAGGTAAGTAATTCACATTGTATACGTTTAAGTGTTGAACTTAAAGCAGTGGCGTTCATATTTCATTGCACCATGACCCCACTTCTGACAACAAAATTACTGCATGACCTAGGAGGAGGCACCCGAACCCCACCGCCCTGTGTAGGAGGGGAGGGATCCAAGTCCAAGCCCCAATGCCCCAGACAGGGGTGGAGCTCAGGTTTAGACTAATGCTGGTCCTTACAACCTATTCAAATGAGGGTGCAATCCACTTTGATGTCCCAACCCCTAGTTTGAGAATCTTTGGCTTAAACTAATGTTTACATCTCGTTAGTTGTCACGAAACTAACAAAAGCCAGAATATTCAAAGTTAAGGTTGAGTTAGTGAATTTGCACCATGATGCCATTTACATTAGTATTATTCTTGTTGGTGTGAGTCAAGGACATCAGTTTGTAGCTTTGCATTTCCAAGCTTTTGTCAATATGTGTCACCCTGACACTGGCTTTGTATTAGCAGCTTTTACTTACAAAAAACATCCACTGAATTCAATGGGAGTTTCCTTGCATGGGGACTGCAGGAATGGGCCCTTAAACATTGTTCAAATGCTGGCAGGTGGGTAGGCACTGGTTTTCAATATTACTGTACATTCAGCAATCCACAATACATTTTAGTGTTCAAATATTTATCAAAACAAATATCAAAAATCATGTAAACTGTACAGTCTATTTTGTAAGTAAACATGTTTTCTGATGATGCACAGAATCACAATTGGTCTTTAGAGGTTACATTTTCATATGCTATAGTTATATTTCATTTTTAAAGTGTGTTGTTGCATATTCAATAATATGTGAGACATGTGGGCATTTGAAAGTCCTGCAAATGTAAGTATCAGCGAGGATTTAACCATTTCATTACTGGAGAGCTTTTTACTTTCTCTTTGACAAATTCTTCCTTTACAGAATTACCATCCCCCGATGCCATGTCAGTCTCTGAAAGTTAAAAAAAAAGTGAATCTCACATAAGTTGGATGAAATACAATGTTCTTACACATCTACATCTTTAGGCTGGAAAATATTTTTTTTAAATCTCTGACTGATAATCCATGTTATCAGTCTGTCTCTTTGCTGCCAGAGTCATCTAGTTACATCATTTCCCCAGAACTATAGCCTGTAAGTCACGGCTACTCAACACGTGACCCATGGGCCACATACAGCCCGTGGCCTGTTTGTTTGCAGACTGTGGTGAGGTTTGCATTTAAACAGGGCTCAACACCTGGCCCAGGGGTGGGATCCTTTGAACCTGGCCTCCACTGGGAACACATTCCACAACAGTGAGGCCTCTCCCAGATGGGGTGAGCATTGAAAGACGCAAGCGGACGGGCTGGCTAGAACAGACTGGTACAGGCTGTTGGGGTTTCTAGCCCCCAGGAAGGAGGTGCTGGGAGAGCAGGGGGATTGTGGGAAGTGCTGGCTGCTTAGCTTTGTGGGTAGAGCCTAAGAGGTGCTGACTGGCTCATGTTGGCCACGTTTGAGTCCAGCACCACAGCTTAAGACTTAATCTTTGTATTCATGCCCATCAGTGTGAAAGAAGCTATTTGCACATATTTGCATATATATTTGGATGTATATGCAACCACACTTAAGTTGCAGTCCTCTGCCTATGCTGTGAATATCATTGTGCCCCCTGGGGCTTCCAAAGTTGAGTAGCCCTGCTGTAAGTAGTGTGGTCTAAGAGTGTAAACTTAGGACAAAGAACTAGGGGTATGTCTACACTACAAGACAAATTAAAATACACAACTTCAGCTACGTTCATTGCATAGCTGAAGTCAAAGTACCTTAACTCGACTTTTGGTGATGTCTACACTGCAGAAAGTCAATGGGAGATCACTCTTCCTTCGACTTCCCTTACTCTTCATGAAAGCAGGGTTACTGGCATTGATAGGCATGCTCCTCTCACTTTGGATCAGCTGTCTTACCTAGATCACTAATTTGAACCCTGGACGATCGACAGTGGCAGCTTCAATCTTCCTCTGTAGTGTAAACATACCCTAGGAGAACTAGGTTCAATTATCATCTCTGTCCTAGACTTCCTGTGTAAGCATGGGCAAGTTGCTTAATCACTCTGCACCTTGATAATAACAACTTGGACTAGATAATCAGCTGATGAAAATATGTGAATTTATACTGGTCACATTAGCTGGGGATTTGGCCCACAGTGAGTGTCTACCTGGATTGTGAAGACTCAAATTAATATTAAGCAAAGTTCTTTGACATCCTCATATGAACTACTATGAAATAGGTTACTGTCATTAATTGATCTGTCTCAAGTGATGAGTAAATCTAGAGTTTTGGAAATCTGGTTGAAAACCTGGACTCATTAAAGCCAATGATAAAACTCCCATTTACTTCAGACTTTGGATCTGTAAAATATTTTGATCAAAGATTGGTGGGAAACAGACCTGGAAAGTTCATGAGAACGGGATATCTGAAAGATACGACTCTCCTTCCTCCCTTAACTACACTCATATATATGCCTACTAAATCTTTAAAACTTTGGAAATATCTGATGTAAGTAGGTTTAATTAAATATATAATTTTTAAACATAGGTAGAATAAATGTCTATTACTATTTAAAAAGTCATTTTCAATTTTCAATCTTAGTTACTGTATTACGTCAAAGTACTGTGATCTGTAGTGATGAGCAACTAAGTTAATTTGATTCAAAAAAGCAATTTGCTGTAGAATTAAAGACCCTGAAGTTTACTAAAGCCTGGTCTTCACTGGAGAAAAAGGTGATTGTATTACCATGTGTTACCTACTGTAGTTTTCACATGTTAGCTGATGAGGTAAACCAGGTCTATACCTACCATCAGTAATTTTCCTTAAATTGATCATAGATGCTAAAACTAAAAGATGCCTTTTCCAAATTAGGATTTTAATACATTTTATCATATGTTATACCCTTTTACCTAATATGGATGCACCTATAGGTTATTCTTTATCTATAACAAGTTGAGAAAAACATTACTGTGAGCTCTCAACGGGGAAATTGTATTATTAGTTATTTGCACAGCAGCATCACTGTACACATACACAGTATAAAATGGTAGAACAATTAAACTGAAGTGCCCCATCAAGTGTTACCTGTGTGTAAAATTAATTTTCTTCTGTTTGGTGGCTTTGCAGCAGAAAGTTGGAAAAATGGGAACTTCAAACACTTTCCAGTTACTCTGTCACATATGCCAGACTGGCAATTGCAAGTTTTTCTGCATTCCATTCCATAGGTACCATAAGAACACTCTGAAAGAAGACAAATTCAAAAGTCTTATGTACCAAAGTAATTCCAAAAGGTGCAGTTCCTATTCTATACTGGTTCCTTCATTGCGCTCCTCACTGTAGTATTTGAACATCTTCTAGTAGTGGTCTGCTATTAGTTTTCTTAATATCTTGTCTGCATATGTTCTTAAAAGTAATTTCAGCATTTTGAAATGCCAACTTTTGTTTCAGACCATCTCCACTTATTATTGATTATGATTATTCTTTATTTTCTATTATACATCTTTCATCTTCAATAGAATGTGCAATAAATACAATTTTATCCTGATTAACTTTTCCCTGTAGCATGTGTAGCATTATATTGCAAATTAAAGGCAATGTAAATGTTGAGCATAAATATGCAATTAAACTAGATGTAGAGTTAAACATATATGCAGTATCTTATGTTTTCCTTATTCCAATTCATACAAACAATTTCCATTATCAGTGGGAATGCTTCAGAATTTCTTAAACTTATAGTCCAGGCTCAATATTAATTTACATACATTCATAATTAATTTCCAGTCTCTGATGAGTCTGTATTCAGGACAACAGAACCTTCTTATCAGCCTCCACTGAAGCTGCCATATCCTGCCCTAAGGAGCTATCCAGCATGGTAAATGTATTCATCAATCTTGAGTGCCTATAACCCACAAGAAAACCCAGCATCAAGTGCAGTGAAGAATGTGAACATCCTATTTTGTTGAAAAGCTCACACTCAGGGTATGTCTACACTAGCTCGTTAGTTCGAGCTAGGTAGGGTAATGAGGGCAAGTGGAGTTGCAAATGAAGGATTTAAATATCCTGGGCTTCATTTGCATGTTCCCGGGCACCGCCATTTTAAAATCCCCTTTAGTCCCGTGGCTACATGCGGCACAGAGTAGGTAGTTTGAATTAAAGATCCTAATGAGGATCCATGAGGAGTAACGGTAGTTCCTTTAATTCAAACTACCTACTCTGTGCCGCATGTAGCCACGGGACTAAAGGGGATTTTAAAATGGCGGTGCCCGGGAACATGCAAATGAAGCCCAGGATATTTAAATCCTTCATTTGCAACTCCACTTGCCCTCATTACCCTACCTAGCTCGAACTAACGAGCTAGTGTAGACGTACCCTCATTTGGGAAGGCTTCTTTAACAGCATGTATCTGCTTCCCTTGTGCCAGCCAACAAAGAGCCACTTGCCTGAGAGCAGAACATTCACGTCTGAAGAAGTACTGGACATTTTAAAGGAATCTCAACCCAAAACTTTGAATCTGACTTGAGCCCTTCCTGCCTTGAGAAAAATAGCTATGAGTAACTGGTGCATTCAGACACAGAATCTTCCTTTTCTCTTTCAAACAGGCAGTAGTCTGAAATTCATCCTGAGTCCTCTCTTTGAGCTACTTTCATTAGTACGGTATTTGTTCCCAAGAAATATCAAAGTGAGTATTCATTGAGGGGAAAAGATGAGATTACTCAATCTAGACAGCTGCTCTAGGGTTCTGATTTGAAATTATACAAGAAATAAGTAGCAATGTAAAGATCCCAAATTATGAATATTTAAAGTCAAACATTTTATTGTGAAATTGAGATATAGGCTAACTCTGTCTAGACCTTTAACTACATTTGAAGAATTCACCCAGGAACAAGCTGGAACAAAAGGCTTAACTTGTAAGATATATAAAATTTTTGTTGGAAAAGTTGTTAAGAAAATAATCCAGGTGAAAAGATAGGTGAGGGATTTGGACAAAGAAATTGATTTGGATGAGTGGGTCTTTATGTGGGACAAGGGATGTGTGTCTTCATTAGGAGTAGCTCAGAATTTTTTTATAAATTACCACATCAATGACATTTTACTACAATTAACATCCATCATATTTTTGCTACAACAGAGATGTTCTGTTTGATGGAAAAAAGGGTAAAGTGCATCTGGTGGTTACTGAACAGGAACACAGGTGTCTTGACCTGTGACACACATGTAGCAGTTAAAACAATTAAAACAACAATAAAACACCACCAAAAATGAACATTTCACAGCACACAATTCTCATCTACGGGAGAGGATGAAGGAAAGAATAAACACATGTGACAGATGTTAGGCATATTGCTTAATGCACTCCTAGAAGGTGCTGAGATACTGCAGTGATGGGGGAGGTATAGAAGTTTATATAGACTAGAAATAGAATATAATAATAAATGCACACAAATCCATATAGGAATACTGTATGACTTCATTGTTTTTTAAAGGACTGAGAAATGGGAGTAATTTCTTCTGTTAACAGTTAAAATTTTATGCATAATAAAAGCCTAATCCTGCTGCCCTATGTCAAACATCATAAAAATATTTAAAGGACAGTTTATAGCAATAGTGCAAAGCCTTAATCCTCTGGACTGCTTATTCTAATTTGGTATTAAATTAGTAAGTGTAACAGTAGCATATATTGATATAACATTTTTCACCTAAGGATCTAAGAACTTTACAAAACTTGATTAATACTTTGAAATCTCAGACTAGTGATTTAACCTCAGATTACCAGTTTGTAAAAAAGTGAGTAAATGAAGCAGTTTAGGACTGAACCCAGGAATCCTGAATCCTGTGTTATATTATAAGCATAAAAAGTCTATCTGCTAGCAGTACTCATGTCAGCCAAGTTTCAATCCACCAAAATATTTCTTCACAATCCAATCTACAGAGATTGAATTTCACTTTTAATACTCTTAAACAGCGGAAATAAAAGCTCTTTTAATTTGAGAGGATATTTTTTCACTCTCCTCTTTCCAAAGGATAATATTATTGTTTGAAATGAAAAATCCCACTTTTAAATTGTAACTTTCTACAAGCAGGAGGCCAGCAGTAAATTTAGGCAGTAGACAAATGTAAGTGAATATTGTTTTACCTTTGCAGATACCAAATTCATCACCAAAGTCATCCTCTTCTGTGTAAAACTGGCACTTCAGCCCAGGCCCACATTTGACACCATCCATCCCTGAGACAGTGCGGTAGCAGGTCTCCCCCAGGGCTGCTGCACAGACTCTGCAACACCCACAGTCATCAAGCACGGTTCGCTTACAACGCAACGTACTTTTACACACATTACTGTCACAAGGTTCAGGGCAATCTACTGCATATTTTGCACTCCAAGCAGTTCCGATGTGCACCGGTACCAGGAGGATGGTGAAAAACAGGAAGCTCTTCATGTCTTACAGTGATAAACGCTCAGTTCCAAAGAGCAGGTTTAGTGTGCAGCCTGGTGGTTTTGTGCAGAGGAAAGCAGCAATATGGAATCCAAAGTAGTAGCTGCACATCAGCCTATACGTGTATGAGCTTTATACAGTGTGTTGCCCACATGCTTTGCAGTCGTCAATTTCCTCAGTCCGATAGTGCTGTCCTCCTGCCAGCCTCCCTTGTTTTAGTTTATAAAATCCAGGATGAAGGTTGGATTAGCACTCTGCTGCCATCCAGGAATTGAAAAGCCTGAGCTGATGTAATCTGTTATGTTTAGTTGGTTGTTTTGCATGAGGACTAAAAACGCTCTCACATCCGTCTCAAGTGCTCAAGGACGTCTGCCAAAAACAAAAACAAACAAAAAAATGAAGTAGGTTACATACCTTCTTTAGGACAGGAATTGTTCTGATGCTGGCCATATCACTTACAGAACAGCTTTGTCCTACAAATAGAGTTCATGAGGCCAGGTGAAAAATCATGTCCAACTGTATCAGTGCTAAAGGAAGCTTATTTTTAAAAGTAAGTCCTTGCTTTCTCCTCAGTAAGTGAGTTATTGGCTACTTCAAAGTAGACAATGTGATTACACCATGTAGCTAACATAAGAACAAAAATATGTGAGTTATTCTTTTGTTGTTTTGCACAGAACAGATACTCATAAAAACAAAAGATGAGTTTCATCAATATTTAGTTACATAGATTCATTCATTAAAAAACTAATGCTAAAACTACTAAATGAGGCAGACGGAAATCAGTAGGTCTCTCCCTAGAAACGTCAGAAAATCATAAATTTAATTTCCACTAACCAAAATGTCACACAGGAAAGCCAGTTCTTCACCATCATTGTGTACACAGGCTCAAATTGATTCTTTTCTCACATACTCTAATTTCACATTGATCTCATTTAATCGTCTTAAGCAGTGTTAATCCTTAGTTCCACCACGATAACTGATAGAAGAAGGCCCAAAGACCTTACGCCTCCCTCAGTTTCAGGTTCATTCCAACTGCCAAAGCCATGACAAGAAATGGCAAACAGGCCAGTGACTCAGTAAAACAGACGAGTCAGAAGAGGAAAACTTTCTGATGCAAAGGAAAAGGAAAAACCACCAAAAGAGTTACAAATCGACATCATCACTAAACTAATCTCTAAGGCCCAAATCCTGCTGCCATCAAAGTTAATGGGAACAGGATCACAAACCTCAAATCTGTATGTGGCGATCTATCCTTCTAAGTCATTAATCTTGCCTTCTCTAAAATAAACATAGAGCAACATGTGGATATGGGTATATAACAAAGATTCCCAAACCAAGACACTCCACTACGAATACTTCTCCTCCCTGGAGAGATGTGAGAGAACAAACACATGACAGCTGTTAGTCATATTGTAAAAGGTTCACAGATACTGCAGTGATGTGTACTATATGGAATAGAATAGAAAGCTTCAATGCCCACATTTCTGGATATTTTGTAACTTTGTGGTGGTTAAGAAAAAAACTTCAAATGGGGAATGCTTCAACTTATTAAGCAGAGGAGACTTAGGGTACGTCTAGACTACAGGGTTTTGTCGACAGATACTGTCAACAAAGCTTCTGTCGACAAAGAGCGTCTAGACTACATTCAGTTCTGTCAACAAAGCAAGCTGCTTTGTTGACAAAACCCTGTAGTCTAGACACAACCCTACATGCAATAACACCTTCTGTCGACAGAACTCTGTCGACAGAAGGTGTTATGCCTCGTAAAATGAGGTTTACCAGCGTCGACAAAACTGCTGAGTTCTGTCGACGTTATGTCGACAGAACTCAGCGGTAGTGTAGACGCAGGTATAGTTTTGTCGACAAAAGTCCACTTTTGATGACAAAACTCTGTAGTCTAGACACACCCTTATAAAATTGAAGGGAGGTAGGTCTTGTTATGGAGAAGAATAGCTCTTACAGTGGAAGAATCTGAGTTCTAAACAAGGATATGCAAAGTGATTCAGATAAAATAAGGACATTCCACTGTCACATAAACTTTCACTGAGATTTCACCCCCTTTCTTTTGAGGCTCAGAAAGATTTGAGAAAGAAAATAAAAGATTTGAGAAAAGAAAGAGATTACCTTCTCTTTTCATTACTATCCACTTTGTTCATCTTTGCTCTTCCAGCTTTCAAACAGGACTACAGCTGAATATGTCAAGAGGATACAATTTTTGCCTCAACCAGAAGCAAGGAGTACTAGGAATCTTCTAAGAAAGCTTGTTCTTGTAAAATTGTCTGTACATTTTTAGAAACCCCCCAAAGGCTAAGCTATGTTAAGATGGGAGGGGGGCATCCATATCCCCTTTCTGCATTTTAGGGAGCAAACCTACACTGGCAAGGACATGGGATAGAGAACGGAATATGTTTTTCCTGTCTCTGATGATGCGCTGAATCTTTTAACATTCTGCACCTTTTTCATATTTGAATGTTGCTGTTCATTTTTAACATGCTAGGAAGTAGAAAGATAACATATTTTAAGAATGATATAGTGAGAATATGTATATCACATGCTCAAGAAGAGATTACACTTGTGAGTGGCTTCAGACAGAACATAAAGGTTTTACACAAAGATAGCAAGATTTGAACTTTTGATGTGTCTGTCTTGCAGGTTTCACAATAACATAAAACAGAAGTGCCATTTACAAGTGCCAATTGATGTTTCTTTAAACACACTAGCTCAGGTCTGTGTCACCAGTAGATTTAGGACAGCAAATGTCTCATTTAAGAGCAAGTCCATAAGCATCAGGGCCAAAATCTTTGCTAATGTAATTTGGCAACTCCACTGATTGCAATGGAGCTGCACCAGTTTACAACAGCAAAGAATTTGGCCTTCTGAATCAACTCCAGGAAAGGAAGAGCTCAAGTAGGGAAATGAGTAGTGCAAGTTACAGCCACAGAGATATGGGATGGGGGAAGTGCAAGACAGAGTGAACAGAAAAACTGGAAATAAACACACTGTCCCTGATTCAAGAAAAGGAGAGATCGTGCCACATTGCAAATGTTTGTTTTGCCAAAGGAAAGCACCAGGATTTCTGTGAAGGTTCTCCTGCCTTCTAGGAACTCACAAAAATTTTCTAGAGACCTAAGAGGACATCACTAATAAACCTCCCTCCCCATTCCAAATGTGACACCCATAACTCTCTAGTAAACAAGTTATCATTCCAGGAATAAAGCACAAGTTTAACCATATGCAGTCAGGAGTCTTGTGTTTATTTGTATACAATTAATTTTGTGTGGGCCTAATACTCTCCTTTTATCCATAAAATATTGTCACCCCAATTACTATAGCACCTTTCATCTGAGTATGTCACTGTAATTTTCCAACATCAATGTATTGAACAGTCCCCGGGTTACATGGATCCAACTTACATCGGATCCCTACTTACAAACGGGGTGAGGCAACCCTGCACTAGCTGCTTCCCCCCAGCAGACCAGGGAGACTCGAAGCTAGTGCCCCCCTCTCCCCCCAGAAGACCAGGGAGACACAGAGCGGCTTTTCTCAGCAGACACCTCAGCTTGAGAATAAAGGACTGAGGGAAGTGAGGCATGGGAGAATAAAACTGAGCTCTGGAGAAATGTTTGGCTAGAGTTTCCCCTACAATATGTACCAGTTCCGACTTACATACAAATTCAACTTAAGAACAAACCTACAGTCCCTATCTTGTACGTAACCCGGGGACTGCCTGTAAACAGTATCTCTCTGAGGTGAATACTGTAGGCATTGCTAACTCAATTATACAGATGGGTAAAGGAGATACGGAAGCATTGTATGAATTGTCCAAGTCACTGGTGGAGCCAAAATCAGCCCCCCAAAATCCTGAGTATTGTTTCCTAACTCTCTTCACAAGGCCATGTAACCTGGCAGAATACAGTAATAGAAGAGAAGGCAGAAAGATATAAATTGTGTGTGTTCATTCACAGCTGTTACTACGACTACTACTACTAGATAGGACACAGTTAAAGTTCTTTTTTGTAAATAGCTATAGGAAGTACTCATGTAAAACACTGAACAATAAAAGGATGAAAGATTTCTTGCACTTTTGGGTTTCCTCAAGCAAAATGTCCCAGAGAGATGATAAATCAAAAATTACACACAGATGTGGAAGGAAAAAGAAATTGTAAAAGTGAGCTGCACTCTCCCATAGCAACAAGCCAATATTATTTGGAATAGAATGGAACTGGTATTCTGCACTTATAGTCAGGAGCCAAAATAAATTTATAACAATATATCAAGAATTACATATATGGAAGAAAATAGTATTAACAAATACAGAACTAATATATGTAAGAAACAATGGAGAAAATAATGAAAAAGATAGGAAAAATACACTGGTTGTGAGTTACTAAACTGTCCACTGATTAAGCAGTGAAATAAATCAGTCCCTGCAGTTTTAATAGTTGCTTCCTGGTTTTTATCCTATGAATCTACTAGGTATTTTATTTCTATTGATCTGTGCCCAGTTATTAGAGGCTAGATTTTGCAAACTCTGGGTCAAAATCTTTGTTGTAAACTGGTGCTATGGAAGTCAAAGAAGTTACCTAGTTTATAGCAGCTGAGAATCATAGAATCCCAGGGCTGGAAGAGACCTCAGGAGGTCGAGTCCAGCCCTCTGCCCAAAGCAGGCCCCACCCTAACTAAATCATTTAGCCAGGACTTTGTCAAGTCGGGACTTAAACACCTCTGGAGATGAAGATTCCACCACCTCCCTATGTAACCCATTCCAGTACTTCATCACCCTCCTAGTGAAATAGTTTTTCCTAATATCCACCTAGACCTCCTTCATTGTAATGTGAGACCATTGCTCCTTGTTCTGCCATCCATCACTACTGAGACCAGCCTCTCTCCATCCTCTTTGGAATCTCCCTTCAGGCAGTTGAAGGCTGCTATCAAATCCCCCCTCACTCTTCTCTTCTGTAGACTAAATAAGCCCAAATCCCTCAGCCTCTCCTCGTAGGTCATGTGCTCCATCCCCCTAATCATTTTGGTTGCCCTCCACTGGACCCTCTCCAATGCGTCCCCATCTTTTCTAAAATTGGGGGGGGGGGGCAGAACTGGATGCAATACTCCAGATGAGGCATCACCAGAGCCAAATAAAGGGGAATAATCATTTCTCTAGATCTGCTGGCAATGCTCCTCCTAATATACCCAAATATGCCATTAGCCTTCT